ATCTTTAGGTGATAAACCTTCCGTATTTTCTAATAATTCAATTTCATGCTAAATAAGATAATACAAAAACAAATATCATATTAATACATACAGATGCTGATGTTGCACTTGCAAGTAAAAGGTAAAAGACCACCACATGCATTACATAAGACATCAGCCATTTAAGATATTATATGTATAATATTAGCACAAAATATTTGATTATCTGGATTATTTATTGCTTCAGTTATTGATTTAGTTGAATCACTAGAACTAGAAAAATATTGGATGATATTAAAAGCTTAAGACCTTCTCTCAAAAAAATGATCTCAGGTTAGTATTCTTTTTTTTTAAACTCTTACTTTTTAAGAGAAAAACCACAGATCGAAAGTTTAATGGTTCAAAAATTGCATATGAGAGAGCAGATGATGGGCTATTCCTCCATGAATTTATCTCAATGTGGATGCTTCCAGTGAAAAGTGACTTTTTTTTTTTCAGGCGAAGCCTTAAATTTCAAATACTTACGATCTCCATAAACGAATATCAACTTCGATTGAATCAAAAACACTATGTAATAGACGAATATGCATTGGAGAATATTTAAATTCAGATATTGTAAATGGTGGTAATTGATTTGTCTTAAATACTTGATGACTAGATGTTGATTCTAAAAAATAATAAATATCGTTTTTTGTTTAAAATCTTTCTTCTCATATCAATAAGTTCGATTATTTGAACTCATGCATTTCCAATTAAAACTAGAGTTTTCTATATATTTTTCAAAGAACGATCATAATTAGAGATGTAAGTCGATGGGTCAAACATGGCGACGACGATTTTGACAACCAAAAGTTAAAAAAAGTGATCGTCAGCTGTACGACTTGCACATCTAACTGTAATTTATACATATGAATTGTATTCTTTAGAATAGATTATGCTTAATATTCTAATCGATTGATTAAATAATATAATAACCACTAAAGCAAAATTACAATTTAACTTACTTGTAGGTGTTGAAACATTTTGTTCATCGATTGGAATTTGTGAATCACTAAGTTTTCCTGGAGTAATCGATTTCTTTATATATAGAAAAACAAAAAAAAACATGTACGTCATGTTCATCATCATCTTTCATACTTTCAACAATTTTATTAACTTTTCGATAGTAATCTTCTTTAGTTATCTAAAAAATAAAAATAAAAATAATAATATAAATAAATTTTTCAATTTACTCGTCCATATAATATTGAAAGTGTATCAATCCATATATGCCATCCACCATATTCATATTTAATAGCATGATGTAATAAAATTTTTAATAAATCAAATACTCGATCAGTTATTTCAAATTGTATTTCTTGTGCTGGATAAACATAAGCAAGACTAAATAAATAATCTTGCCAAACAGACATTTGTAAAATAGTTCTTAACAAATGAAAAATTAAAAAGAATAAATAAATATCTATTTATTTAATTGCCTTCGATTTTCTCAACTTGCTGATGCAAGTAAAATTAAATCATCAAGAAAACGTAACTTAATATCATATAAATGAATATTATCAGCTGCATTTCGAAGTAATGT